GGACTCAGGTGTTGTTTTCAGTTCCTTGACGTCTACCCCACCTCCCAAGGTGCTCTGCACACACTGGATGAGATGACACTTGGTTGTGGGATATAACTGACTTAAAGCTTGTGTCTGACAACCATCCACTCCGTCCTGGGAGCCTTCAGTTGTCTGGATGGCAGAGAACATGTCAAGAAGAAAACCAGCCGGCATCTGCAACTCCTCCTGACCTTTGAGGGAAAAGCCCAGCCAAGATCTCAATGCTCAGACTGGGTGTGGTAGTACCCACCAGTAATCCCAGCACTTGGGAGACAGAAGTGGGCAGGTCATCTGGTTTACACAGTGAGTTCCAGGGCAACCAAAGCTACACAGTGAGACCCTGTCCTCCTGCCCTCACCCCCCACCCGGGAGACCTCAACCCTAGGAAGAGGAAGGGGTACATGGAAGAGAAGCAGTGAGGAGATAAAAACTCTGGTTTAGGGTAAAATAATGAAGCCAATATGGGTGAGAAAGAACGGGCCATGACTGTTTCCATAGTGACATGGGTAGCGCTTGAAGGCTCTGGTCCTGACAGCATCCTTATAGCAAAAGAAGGGAAGAGGGAAGAAGTAACCAGGAAGCATCTTTCAGCCCTAGGAGTGTACTCATGGGGATGATGTTATCTTCCAGGTCCATGCCCCGCCCTTGCTTGAGTCCCCTGGATTGAGCTTAGACCAGAACTGCAATGATAGCATGTTAGGAAATGACCCAGGAGTTGGGACAATGCTTCATGGAACACTGGTGTTGAGAGCCTGCTCCACCTTACCCACCAGTGAGTCACCTAATTTAGGTTAAGCCCCAAGCTGAAAGCTCTCTTCTGCACCCAGAACATCTGGATCCCAGCTTAAGTACAGAAAAGGCTAGAGAGGGTTAGGGGCCCCCTCAAGGAAGTGGTGGGAAGAGGGGATGGTGACTTGTCTGAGCTGGCTTTCAGGCTCTGCTCAGCACTCATGTACCCCTGTCCCCAGAGCACATGTCTCTGATCCCCTAGTTTAACACTATCCCTGAGCCTGGCCTCATTTCTTCCCTCCGGCCTTTCTTGATCCAACTACCCCATCCCTCCCCAAGTGTGCCCCTCCTGATCTGCAACTGACTTCCAGAACTGAATGTCTTTCAGACCTGGTCCCCACCAGTCTTTAAGTGAACCCCCACTGCCCTCAAACCCACCTGTGACCCTTTCTTCAAGGTACTTTGTCTTAAGAAGTAGGCTGTGATCTGAATAAGCTTTTGTTAGCCCAAATAGACTTCCATAGCTTCTCCTTCTTAAGAAAGAATGGGGGGGGGTTGCCAGAGAGATGGCTGAGCAGTTAAGAGCACTCACTGCTCTTCCAGAGGAACTGGGTTCTATTCAGCACCCACATAGCAGCTCACAATCATCCCTAACTCTGGTTTCAGGGCCTCTGATGCCTTCTTCTGGCCTCCAAGGAAACCAGGCATGACTATGGAGTATCAACATACATATAGGCAAAATACTCATAGATATATTTTAAAATAACACATAAGCCGGGTGGTGGTGGCACACGCCTTTAATTCCAGAACTTGGGAGGCAGAGGCAGGCGGATCTCTGTGAGTTCGAGGCCAGCCTGGTCTACAAGAACTAGTTCCAGGACAGGCTCCATAGCCACAGAGAAACCCTGTCTCGAAAAAACAAAAAAACGAAGTAATACATAAATGTCAGGGGGTAATTTGGTCACTCAGAGGGCTAAGAAAACACTTAAACACATTCTGAGGTCATCAATGTGCCCTCAGCACTTCTCCCTCTGCCTCCTGAGGCCTGCACACCCCAGAATGGAGTTCTAGAGGACAGAACCTATGTTTTGCTTTGGTTTTATGTATTTTTATTTTATATGTATGGGTGTTTGCCTGCATATATGTAAGCACACCACATGCATACAGTGCCCATGGAGACCGGAAGAGAGCATGTGATCCTCCGAAGCTGGAGGGTCGAGGTAAACTTTGGAGTTTACTTCACATGGATTCTGGGGATTGATCCCAGGTTATCAGGCTTGGCAGCCAGTGCCTTTACCTGCTAAGCCATCTCACTGGCTCAGGATCCGAGCTTTTGAGTAAGAATCCAGGAACTTCCTGGCCCACCAGTGTGGAGCTGTCTGCCTTTCACACACACACATGCAGACAGTCACATGTTCTGTGCACATAATCCTGAAAAAATGTGCTCATGTCTAATCCGTGTAAGTATGCATACACTTACACACGTCTTAAAATCAGAATGTGAACTCCATGAAGAAAGATCATTTTTCTCCCATGATATAGTCCCAGTTTTGATAATAATACTGGTATGTAACAGATGTTCATATTTTCAAATTACACATAATAATACATTCATATATGTAATACCTATGCACACAAATATGTCTACACAGCTCAATGTTGCCCACATATATGTGTGTGTATATATATATATATATATATATATATATATATATATTTGTTTATTTTTATTTTTTGAGACAGTGTCTTACTATTTAAAGCAAGCTGGCCTCCAACTCACAGAGATTCACCTGTGCTGGGATTAAAGGTGTGGTCCACCACACCCTAATGAAAATTTTAAGTTTTTTTTATGTAGAATTTATTTTTATTTATGTTCATTGGTGTTTTGCCTGCAAGTATGTCTATGTGGATCCCCTGGAACTGGGGTTAGAGACAGTTACGAGTTGTCAAGCAGTGAGGCTGGGAATCGAACCCTTGTCTTCTGGAAGAGCAGCTAGTACTACCCTTAATCGCTGAGCCATCTCTGCAGCCCTCCCTTGAAGCATCTTTGTACAATTTAATGAAAACCCTCAAGGCCCCTAGCCGAGGCCCGGATGCCACTACCAGAAATATCCACTAGATGGCAGTCTTTCCCCAGAGCCTGCACTGCTAAGACTTGCCGGAGAGGTCGCTTTTCCCCCACTAAAGACACCATTCTGGGAGTTAGGTGAACAGATTCAGCCCCCATCACCTTCAGCTGTGTTGTGAGCGCGTCCTTGGTCCCCAAACTCTGCAATTTTGGCCTCTTCAAAATCAAATCCTCCCTCTCCTCTCCAGCTTTCCGGCTTCTACTGGAATTTCCAGTTCCAGTTCCATCCAGTCCGTGTGTGTGCGTCTGTGTGTGTGTGTGTGTGTGTGTGTGTGTGTGTGTGTATGCGCGCGCGCGCGCGTGTGGGTGTGGGTGTGTGCGCATGTGTGTGGTGGGTGTGGTGTGTGCGTGTGAATGTGTGTATGTGTGTGTGTGTGTGTGTGTGTGTGCGCGCGCGCGCGCGTATGTGTGTGTGGTATGTGCGTGTGTGCCTGTGTGGTGTGTATGTGCGTGTGAATGTGTGTGTGGTATGTGCGTGTGTGCCTATGTGGTGTGTATGTGCGTGTGTGTATGTGTGCCTGCGTGGTGTATTGTGTGTGTACGTGTGCGTGCGTGTGCCGGTGAGTGTGTGCATGTGTGTGTGCATGTGTGTGGTGTGTGTGCATGTGTGCATATGTGTGTGTGCATGTGTGTGCGCGCACGTGTGAGCGCGTGTGTGGTGTGTGTGCGTGCGTGCGTGTGTGTGCGTGTGTGCGCGTGTGCGCATGTGTGGTGTGTGTGTGTGTGTGTGTTGCCTAAGCCCCACACCCTGGATTCTGACCAGCGCGGAGGAGAGAGCCCTGGCGTCTCATTAAGCCAAGCCGGGTCTGCGCTACCACCACGTCGGAAGCGTGCGGGCGATGGAGCCAGCACTGCGGCTCTCCCGTGTCTCGCACAGTTTCCCGCACACCCTGCTGGGATTCGGGAAACGCGCTTGGGAGGGCTCCACTGTATCAACCCTGCTGTTGTGGCTCCCGACCTGGCTACACCCGGGACGAGGACTTCTCGTCACAGAGGGGCTCCGGGGGGTCCCGTGCTGCCGCTGCCTTGGGCAGCTCCCACCTGCAGGCCTGGGCCTCGGGCCTGCTCTCGGAACCGCACACCGCGGCTGTGAGCCGCCTCCTGAAGCTTAGAGCTTACAGCCCCGTGGGGCTGCGGGGCC